AGTCATTTTACTGATAAACTTTAGAAAGAACAAAGAGTGTAAGTTTTTAGTCATTTTATTAACAAACTTTAGAAAGAACAAGGAGTAAGTTTTTAGTCATTTTATTAACAAACTTTAGAAAGAACAAGGAGGGTAAGTTTTTAGTCATTTTACTAATAAACTTTAGAAAGAACAAAGAGTGTAAGTTTTTAGTCATTTTATTAACAAACTTTAGAAAGAACAAGGAGTAAGTTTTTAGTCATTTTACTAACAAACTATAGAAAGAACAAGGAGTGTAAGTTTTTAGTCATTTTACTAACAAACTATGGAAAGAACAAAGAGGGTAAGTTTTTAGTCATTTTACTAATAAACTTTAGAAAGAACAAAGAGTGTAAGTTTTTAGTCATTTTACTAATAAACTTTAGAAAGAACAAAGAGGGTAAAGTTTTTAGTCATTTTATTAACAAACTTTAGAAAGAATAAAGAGTGTAAGTTTTTAGTCATTTTACTAATAAACTTTAGAAAGAACAAAGAGGGTAAGTTTTAGTCATTTTACTAATAAACTTTAGAAAGAACAAGGAGTGTAAGTTTTAGTCATTTTACTAATAAACTTTAGAAAGAACAAGGAGTGTAAGTTTTTAGTCATTTTACTAACAAACTATGAAAGAACAAAGAGGGTAAGTTTTTAGTCATTTTACTAATAAACTTTAGAAAGAACAAAGAGTGTAAGTTTTTAGTCATTTTACTAAACAATATTCCATCAAGTGCATGGTGTTGAGAACACAAATTGATAAAGTTATTATTGCATGTTTGATGGTTTGTCAAAATGATAGAAGCAGAATTTGTAGATGACTTAATATTGAGGGAGATGTGGGGGGGGGACAAAAAAGCTATTTATTACACCAAGATTTGAGTGTAGATAGATTGTTATGTTTTAAAAGTAGAGAAATTTGGGTAAGTATGACTTTTGTAGCTTTGTCTTTGTTGGAAATCATTGAAATCAAACACACTGTTGACTTGAGTGTATGAATGTGGGTTATTAGTAAATGCTGCAGCCTGATGTTCATTCTTACATTTCTTCATCGTATTTTTATACAAAATTAATGATTAAGATTATATAAAAATACAAATGTGATTATAACATGTTTTATCCAAAGAAGAACATAAACTGGGAATAAACAAGAAATTTCTTATGGATTGTATGATAATTTGTAACTTACTGTCACTATAAAAATGACAGGTTACATTACATATTCAATTAAGAGTATGTTTTAAGAAATAACCTGCATCAATAAGGCGTATTAAGATAGGCATTTGTTTGTTTTAAGAAATAATCTGTAACCATAAGGTATATTAAGATAGGCATTTGTTTGTTTTAAGAAATAACCTGTAACCATAATGTGTATTAAGATAGGTATTTGTTTGTTTTACGAAATAATCTGTAACCATAATGTGTATTAAGATAGGCATTTGTTTGTTTTAAAAAATACCTGTAACCATCATGTAGTATTAAGATAGGCTATTTGTTTGTTTTAAGAAATAACCTGTAACCATAAAGCGTATTAAGATAGG